ATATAAATTCAAAAACATTAAATCATCATTTTGTTTTACATTTTTAGGATAATTTGAAATTTCAAAAATGTAAAAACATTAAATCATACAAAGCCAGCAAGCAGCTAATTTACTAACAGGCAAATCTATTTTACACTTTCGGGACTATTTAAAATTTTAAAAATTCAAAAACATTAGAAAATTACGCGCCTAATTTGATGATCATCAGGCCTAATTTACTATTTGGTGTTTCAGACAGTAGGGGTGATGAGTGTGGTAGTGTCTTGGTCTCTCCTGCAGGGCGGCACTGTTACCCTCCTTTCGAGTCATGTGGTGAGGAACGGAGGCCGCGGTCAGTTTTCAGGTCACACTGAAGGGTTTCTGAGGCCTGAACACATTATTTGGAAACCAGAGGGGAGCGCGAGACTGAGTCTGTTCAAGAATAAGCTGTTAATCCGGTCCAGAGTGACCGCCTGCCGCGGGTCGAGTCCACCGAACCCACCTGCTGAAAGGTGTGAACGGCAGGAAGGACTTTACCCAGCAGCGCTCACTCTCAGAGCCGCCAATCAAACAGCAGGACAGGAACCGGCACGCTTTCAAAACAAACTGAATTACGGTAAAATACAGAATAACATACTTTACGTACACTGTTAGAAAAGACGGTTCCCCAAGGGTGACCACAGTTCTATATAGAACCACGAACACTCAAAGAACCATTTGCATAATTAAAGGGTTCTCTGCATGGTGAAATGGTTCACAATGTGTTTAGAGGTGGGCGTCTGGTTCCTATCACCACCACTGTGAACAAAATGTCTTTATTTACATCTTTACCATTTTATTATGCAGAGAATTTTAAAATGTTGGTGGAGTTGCCCTTGTAATGCCTCTAAAAGCTCCCTCACAGAAAGTTACTACATGAAATGGTTATGAATTCACTGCCTGATGACTGAGACACTGTTTCATGATAGTTTAGAGAAGATTTTGGCCTTAAAATTCATCCATGGTGGAGGGATACATAATATGCAGGGCGCTGTGAGGCAAAATAGTCCCCAAAGAAAACTTATTATTTCAGATTTTCCACTATTTTCCATCATCAACATTCCATATAAACTCAGACGACTCGTGTAGGTTCACTGGTGGTTCTGGATAGTAAATAAAATGTTTATTTTTTTAATAATCATATTAAACAGGTCAGATTTCCTCTTATCTCTAACACACACACACACACACACACACACACACACAGCAACCGCAGCCACCAGCACACAAACCAGAAAACTGATAAACCCCCCCCAAACACCCCTCATCCTGCAGAGTTTGGCAGGCGGTGGTGGAGTGAGGTCACTGGCTCTCGGCGATCGGCTCGTATTCCTGATGCTTCAGTGACAGAGTGGCGTAAATATCGCACGTAAAGAGGAAACGGTCCTGTCTGATTAACGATCGGGTTTATCGGCCGACTCTCTCTCTCCGCCGCGTCTCCTCGTCAGGGGGCGAGCGAGAGCGACAGCTCAGCAACACCGATCAAAAACAAATGTTTCCTCAGCGCCGATAACGACAACCGCCGAACGCCGGCTCCAATCTGAGGGTCAGCTCAACAGGCCTCACGCTCCACATCTCTCTCTCTCTGTCTCTCTCTCTCTCTCTCTCTGTCTGTCTCTCTCTCTGTCTCTTCCCCCTTCTCTTTTCTTCTCTTTCCCTCTCTCCCCTTCCCTTTTTCTGTTTTTTTTCGCTCTCCCCTCCATTCTCTCTCTCTCTCCACCTTCAATTCTCTCTTTTCGTTCTCTTTTCCTTGTCTTTCCCTCTCCCCCTCCATTCTCACTCCCCTTCTTTCTCACTACCCATGTATTCTCTCTATCCTCCCTTCTCTTTCTTTTCCCTCTCTCTCTATCACTCTCGTCTTTCTCGCTACCCTTGTATCGTCTCTCCTCCCTTTCTCTCTCTCTCACTCTACCCCTCCATTCCCTCTTCCTTTGTCTTTCTCTCTAACCCTCCATTCTCCCTTCCCCTTCTCGCTCTTCTCGTTCTCTCACTCACTCTCTCCTTTCTCCTCTATCACCACCACTGTGAACAGTTCTGACTCGGTCAGTTTATCTAGAACAGAGCGTTTCACACCAAACCACTCTGTTTACATCTTAACTGTTTAATTATGCAGAAATGTGATGTCACAAAACCCAACACACGTTCATGAACCCCCTTTTCAGCCTTCAGCAGTTCAGCTCTCTGAAAGTCTGATTACATCTCAGACACTGGATTATGCAGAAATTCTGAAAAACCAGTGGACTTTCCCTTTAAGCTGATTCTGATTTGTGAGCAAGAGCCTGGCACCGTTACCAGAGACCAACTTCATCTGACCTCAGAACAGCAGGCCGGACCGAAACGCCCCGCTCGGGAGATTCTGGACGCAGAAGAAACTCCAGACTGGCCAGCAGGACATTCTACACTTTTATAGGAGTGTGGTCAGCAGGGGGGGCAGCAGGGCAGAGGAGACAGGGGGGACATATGCGTGGGCCTCAGCCAAAAACACACACAGCCTTCTAACTGCAGCCAAGACACTGTACAGACCCCCAATAACAGCCCCCCACCCAATAACACTCCCCAATCACAGCCCTCCAGAGACACAATGTTACTGTAGACTAAAAACGCAGAGAGAGAGAGAGAGAGAGAGAGAGAGAGAAAGAAAAAAGAAAGAGAGAAAGTGAAGAGAAAAAGGGAGAGAAAAGAGAGAGAACCCCAGAGAAAGAGACAAAAGAGAGAGAAGAGAGGATGAAGACGGACAGGAGAGAAAGAGATAGAAGAGAGAGAGAAAAGGAGACAGAGAAAGAAGAGAGAAAAAAAGAGAGATAAAGAGAGACACAAAGAGAGAGAGAGAGAAAGAAAAGAGAAAGAAAATGAGGAGAAAATTTTATTTGATTTGAGAGAGAGCGAGAGAGCGAGAGAGAGAGAAAGAGAGAGAGAGAGAAAGAAAAGAGAAAGAGAGAAAGTGAAGAGAAAATTTTATTTGATTTGAAGAGAGAGAGCGACAGAGAGAGAAAGAGAGAGAGAGAGAAAGAAAAGAGAAAGAGAGAAAGTGAAGAGAAAATTTTATTTGATTTGAAGAGAGAGAGAGAGAGATAGAGAGAGAGAGCAATAGAGAGAGAGAGAGAGAGAGAGAGAGAGAGATGATAAACACTGGGTCGTTCCCAAACTCAGCTCACCTGCACCTGGAAAATGTGGAATCTGAATCTTGCTGTGTTCGTCCTGCTCCATAAACACTCAAAGAAAGAGCGTCGCTGCCCTCTGGTGGACGACTGGAGCTGCAGCAGGACGCTTACACTCCAAACCTCACTGCTCAGCTCAGCTCAAATCTGCTTACATCTTCCTGTTTTACTGGTTCTCAGTCGCGTGGAGGGCTGAACGGTACGGATATGAAACGCCATCATCAATAAAGCTGTGACAGCAGCCGTCACTGCCTTACACAGTCCAGACATGACACTGAGTGTGAGATCCATCCTCACGTTTGTTTTACAGGTGTGTAGTTCAGGGTGGAGGAGTGTTCGACCTGTGCTGTGATTGGCTGTTTAGCCTGAGGGTTAAGTCACTCGTTTTCTGCATGGTGGAGCAGCGTTTAGTCTCAGCACAGAGAAGCTCTTCTGCATGTAAGCTCCGTCATCACCGCTCTGATGATGTTTTTATCACAGAAACTCGTATCACGATAACGATAAAAATGTGACTTACAGACCTATTCGTGTGCAAAAGTTTGGGCTCCCCAGTCAAATTTGCAAGTTTCTTTAATTACAAACGTGTAAAACACCAGTTTATCCAGCATCACATCTCCCATCGATCAACACAAGCTTCTTACTAACGAAGGAAAGCTCTGTGTGTCTGTGATGATCCGTCTCTGTCAGTGCGTGAGAGGCGCCGGTCAGGCCTGGTCAGGTCGAGTCCACGCTTAAATGTAATTCCTGTGCAAAATCTGATATCACCTGCTATCAACATGCACAACGGGCTTGATCAATATCGGTCTGCATTTTTCTTTCATATAAATGAATAGATAAATAAAGTCGTGTTCCAGTTTAAAAGTCCATACTGAAATAGAAAGCGGACGCAGTTTGGGTGGTGGAGGGGTTGGGGTGGTTCAGATGGTTGCAATCTGCAACCTCACCACTAGAGGTCACACTACTGCACCTTTAAAAGCACATATTTCACCAAAATGCTCAAAATGATCCATCTGATCATATATCCATCCATCTGTCCATCCGTCTGTCTGTCTGTCCATCCATCCGTCTGTCTGCCTATATGTCCATCTATCTGTTGACCATCCGTCTGTCTGTCTCGATATGTCTATCTATCTCTGTCCATCTGTGTCCGTCAATGTGTCCATCTGTCTGTCCGCCTGTCTGTCCATCCATCCACCATACCGTCTGTCCGTCTGACCATCTATCTGTCTCTCTCCATCCATGCTCTATCTATCCATCCGTCCACCTGTCTGTATGTCTGTCCATCCACCGTCCAGTCTATTTCGCTACCGACATGAGCTCATCCTACTCAGTAACGTCACATGAATGAATCGCATGCATCATCAGCACAAACTAACGAGCAGAACGAGCTTCGCTGATAATTAACTCTGATCAGCTCTCAGCTTCATTATTAGAGCGAGACGAAGGAGAAAAAGGTGAGATGAGCTGCTTTTCCACCGTTTACAGGCTTTAACTTCTGTTTGGCGCTGCTGCCATGGTAACGCTGAATGATGGCGCAGTGGAACAAAAACACATGAATTCAAATCTGAGCGTCTCATTAAGGTCACATGGCCACGAATCAGATACGTATCCGATCTAGGACCAGATACGAAAGTGGCTCAGGTCGGATTTGAAAAGATCAGATTTGTGTCCACACAGCTCTGAAAACATCAGGTCTGAGTCACATTAGGACAGAAAATCAGATTTGTGCCACTTCAGCCTGGTAATGTGAACGTAGGCTTTGACTATCTGCCTGTGTCCGTCTGTCTGTCCGTCCGCGGCCGTGCTGAAGTTAACTGAGCGTACCTGAGCAGAGAGAAGACGCTGTAGGAGTTCCTCACTGAGCTCTGATCCACCTGCAGCAAACTGTTCTTCTTTCTCTCTGAATTATCCTGATAACAAAACAAGAGCCAGACACAAAGCTTAAAAACGTCTCTTCCATCTCAAACGGCGACATAAGTCTGAGACATAAACCAGGGATCATCTGAGGAAACCTCTACAAAACTATGACGCATAATTAGGGTTTTCATTTTGCATCAGGCGAAATTTTACCTTCTGATCAAAGTCAGCTGCATAGTAGCCGTCATTGAGTCCAAATATGATCTCATTCGGGTTCCTGGAACGGATCTGAGAGAGAGAGAGAGAGAGAGAGAGAGAGAGAGAGAGAGAGAGAGAGAGAGAGTAATAAAAATAAAAAATGAGGAACCTCTAGGTTTCGGATATGCCTCAGTCTTTGATTTAATATTTCGGCGCTGTCGGGGGGGGAAAACCTTGTATCTCTATTTTTGTTATTTTTTAATTCTTTGACAATTTAAAATCACCAGCTGTTTTTTTTTATATGGCTTCACAATTTCATGATGAACAGACCAACAGAAATGCTCCAAAATGACTCGGAATAAATTATATCTCCATGAACTTCCATTAAAAGTTAAGGAAGCTTTCTCCTCTCCTGTAAATTTACACCCATTTACACTCAGAAATAAAGGTACTAAACTGTCTCTGGGTCAGTTCTCCTCTTGCCACTGGGGTGGAACCCTCAAGGCTCCATCTCAGTACCTTTAGTCAGGGAACATAACTGAACCATAATCCACTGAAATGATATGTTCTAAGCTGTACTGACTCCACACACCCCGTCTCGTCTCCAGGACTTTATTTTACTGTTCTGTTTAAAACATTCGGTTATGAAAAGGTACAAATACGAACTTTTCACCTGGAAAAACTTATTTAAGGTTCACAATCAGACCTTAGAACCACTGTTGAACCTTTGAGGGAACATTTACACTGTTTGTACCTTGATGAACGACAAATGTTCCTGCACAGAACCTTTACTTCTAACAGTGTACCTTTCCAAAGACACAAGCCTTCGTTCCGACAGCAGCGATGTATGCAGAGATAAATACGCATAGAGATAAAACACCACAATTATCACAGCTAATAATTAGTAATAACTGAACAAACAATTACTGATATATATATTAATTGTATTTAATAAATGGACAAACCATATAATTAATAAATAAATATACAAAGAACGTGTATAACTGAAGCAAGGGGGCAGTTTTGGTGTCTACCAGCTCTTCCAGGTGGTTGTTAGGAGCCACATTTTCTCTGTAATCAGTTTTTGAAAACTCCTGCTTTTATCTTTGACTTTCTCCTTTCCTTCTTTATATCTGATCTCCTCAGAAACGTCTACTGAAGAAGTGAAAAACTTAATCACTGGGTGGAAATTAGATAAACGAGGGGGTCTCTGACTTTCGCACAGTGCCGTTCGTTGGCGTTGGTGTGTGTGATGTCGGCACCTGCTGTCCTGTGTATCGTAATCCGTCCAGGTTGACCTTCCACTCGATGAGCAGTTGGTACTGTTCGCCTCGGCCGCCCCAGATCCGAACGACAAAACTCGACACTGACGTGTCCAGCAGGTCCGGAAGCATCGCAAAGTCCAAACTCCTCCAGGTTGGGTTCTACACACACACACAATTATGGGACAAACAATAATAATTACTGATTCATTTACAGAAACTGATTTCTGAGTATAAATTATACTTACAACACTTAGAATAAAATAAATCACCACATCCTCCACAGAAAACACACTTTAAACATAAATAAATAAATTAATAGACTTCTTTTTTCATTTTACTGCACATTTTAGTGCACAGCATCTATTTATTTGCAAAGTTTAACATTGAAATATTAATATATCAACATATTTATGAATGAAAAAAAATTAACCAAAAAATATAGACCAAATTTAATGTTTTATTTTTCCCCCAATGTCTCAAATTCAATAAATAAACAGTAATTGTTCAATAATTGGGACGTGTTAATTTATTTACATTCAACAAAAAAAAAGAAAATTTGCATCCTTGTTTTACTGAAATATTGTTATGATGAGGCGTTTCAACTTTGCAGTTTTATTTTATTTGTGAAACCAGTGAGAGCACCCCCTGCTGGCTGTTTGCAGACACACATGTAATAAACTCCCCACATCACTCTTCAAGACCTAATTACCAAAAGCCGATTCAGGCAGTTTCTTACAGACTTCACAGTCCAAACAGTATTTAGTGCTGCTTTAGAACTATTAACACTATTTTCATACATTTCCTCAGAAATATAAGCAAATTATTCGGTGGCCTGGTGTGAAATGAACAGCATTCAGTATCATTAACTTACTATAAATGACTACAAATAAAAAACTACAAACTCCTAAACGATCACAACTGCACTTCTTGAAAAATCAGTCAAGTTTTTTTCACATGTACAGTTTGTGTATTTAAAAAAATAATTCCACTCCAGCTCCACACACATCTGATGACGCCACATACGCAGGACAACTCTGGTAGCTTCAAAGAGTCACAACCACAAGGAACCAAGGAACAATATCTGCATGTCGATGAATCAGACCAATCATGAGCAACCAAACACCCAAATCTGGCATCACAACTGGCTGATTTCTGGCACAGTCAGTGTTCAGCCTGGAAAAAATGATATTACAGTCTTCTTGGACAGACAGACAGACAGACGGACAGACAGACAGACAGACAGACAGACAGACAGAAAGACAGACAGACAGACAGACAGACAGACACCACAGTACACCTGGACTTCAGTTCATAGAAAATAGCTGCATTTAAACCAATATTGTAGACACAAGCCAACCTGTCACTTAACAAGCATTTGCAGTTTGTTATTGGTATGGTTTGGTTTGGTATTGGTATGGTTTGGTTTGGCACCAATAACAACCAAACCACACCACACACTAGGGGTGGGGAGAAAAATCAATTCTTAAACGAATCGCGATGCGGACGTGGACGATTCTGAATCGATTCATAAATGTCAAAAATCGATTTTCTAAATATTTAATTTATAACGTAATGTTGACGGAACGCAAAAGGCGGAACTGGAAGTGGGTAAATGCAGCGCCCGGACAGTCTGTGGGGCACATAACAAAAACACTACTGGATGAGTGAGAAATCCGACCGGCTCCCTCTGCATTAAAGCCAGGTTAGATCAGGAGTCACAACACAAATGATAAGAAGAGACATTTTGACCTTTCAACACAAATCAAACCACCTTGGGAGCCTCAACATTTAATGTCCAGTATGTCTCAGTCTGTGCTGATGTCCTAGTATAGACTAAACAATACAACGCGGACTTACTTTGCTCTGCTTTAAGATTTAGCTCAGCTATCGCCGCTTTCCTCCCATCTCCACCAGGAAACGTTTCCTCAAAAGCAGAGCAGCTTATTGTAAAATGTCTCTCAATGTTCGGCTGATTTACGAGGCTGAAGTCGCTTCTTATTCACCAGCTTCTTGTTCGAATTTTCCCGTTCCACCTTAAATTCTGACTGACGATGGTGCCGAATGTAAATGCGGCACCATTTAAGGTGGAACGGGAAAATTTGAAAGAGAGGCGACTTCATCTTCGCACCTTTTTAGAGTCTGACTGTCTCTCGCTGCAGATTTAATATATCAGGAAACCAACTGCGCTGCTTATAAATGCAAATAAGTCCGTTTGTCTCCAAATCTTCGTCTTAAATCTCTCTGTGCCTTTTCGTTAGATACTAGCCAGGAGAGACTCTCTGTGTTGATATGTGACCTACAGTCTGCACGACTGTCATTGAGAAACAGGGCTTTCGCACTATGTTGCACAAGTCCAGTCTCAAAGATATTTTACTGACACAGAGATCCCCCCCCACTCTCTACAACGAGACCAAAACCGAAGTGATAGAATCACTAAAGATAACGGGCAGGACGGCCGTAACGTGCTGTGTGTAACAGTGCATTTTATCACAGATGAGTGGCAGCAGTGTCTCATGTGCTCCAAACAAGAGCAGTGAATGAGAGCCTTCCAGTTCAGCCTCATCACTTCTGTTTGTTTTATTAATAAAAGATATTGGAAGTAAATTCATTATGGATCATTACAAACACTTTGCTTTAAAACTACCAAATCCTCACACAGAGAGAGAATAGAAATCCTGTGTAGAAAAAAGATGAATCGATAATCGTTTTATAATCGCATCACAGCCTCTGAATCGTAATCGAATCAAATAGTGAGGTGCCTAAAGATTCCCACCCCTACCACACACTACCAAACCAGACCAAACACTACCAAACCACACCAATATCAACCAAACCACACCAATAACAACCAAACCACACCAATAACAACCAAACCACACCACACACTACCACGCCATATCACACACTACACACACTACCATGCCATATCACACACTACACACACTACCATGCCATATCACACACTACCACGCCACACCAAGAACTCAATCAATATTGTATTTTGTAGATTTAGATTTGGTTAAGAATTTGATTTTCCCACAATTCTTCAACAGACGGACTGCAGTCTGTAACTGAATAGTGGACCATTCCTAAAAGAATGACCAATGAACGTAGAAACAAAGTAGGTAACAAACTGGACATTGTTTTGTTGTTTTACTTTGAGCGGGATTATCCTAATTTTAGTTTTCAGTACAGTGGGTCAACACGGCGAAGCAGAAATCAGGCTAAGCCTCACACAGAACAGCAGACCAGAACCCTGAGTTACTCCCCAGCTGTGATCCACATAAACACCTACAAACATCTGAGCAAAAACCGCAGAGTCACGCAGAACCAAGGCTTCAGGATCAGGAGGAGTTCAAACCAGCTTGACCGCATCAGCAGAAACCAGAACACAGAGAGAGAGAGAGAAAAGGGAGGGAAAACAACAGGAAAGAGAAGAGGAAGCCGCTTCATCAGAGAAAGAAAGAGAGGAAAAGTGAGAGGCTGAAGGTTCAGACGGGAAGAATAGAGCGAAAGGTCACTTCCAGCTGCTGAGTAACGACAAAAACGACCTGCAGTCAAAGAACTGCTGAGGCCTCAGTGTGTGGGAGTTTGTTTTTATGCCTTTGTGGGGTCTAAACGTCCCCAGTTTGATGAAAACATGAAGCTTTAGTGGTTGGGGGTCTCTAGGCTGCTCTCAAAAAATTCTTCAAAATTCTTCTTCTTTTATTAGAAAACATGAAAGCAGAAAGTTCTCTGTAGTGACTGAGCTCCAACAAAGCCCTGGAATAATCGAGGTCTCCAGCTTTGAAGCTTTTATTTCCTACCAGCATTTTGCTCTTATTTCCAATAGTATCACACAAAAATGGAGAACAAACATAAAAACATAAATCATTTTCATCTTCTGTTTGGTTTTAGCTTCTTTACCGCCACATGGTACCAACTCGACTCGACTCTTCTGGCTTTTTGGTTTTCCATTACAGAAGCCGATTTTGGTATCACCTTCGTCGAGGTTCCAAGTAGGCTTGGGCAGTATGACAATATGGTAAACCATGGTATGTAAAAATGATGACTATATTAAAAAATTTGACATGTCAAATTTCTCTCTCATGTCCGGTCACCCCAGCTCTGTGTAAGCTCAAACATAGGCTAGTTGTAATGTAAGTGTTTACTAAATTCAGGTTCATCATTCGCTGCTGTCGGAAGAAAACCTCATATCTCCATTTTTGTCATTTTTCAGTTTTTGCCGTAATTTGAAAATATCTGTTGTCCTTTACATTTTGTACAAATTTCATGAAGAATGGGCCAGACGAACCTACCCAAAATCACTTGGAAAAAATTCCGGTTCCATTGACTTACATTAAAAGTAAAGTAGGTTTTTTCCTTCTCCTGTAAAGTTACCATTTTGGAGATACGAGGTTTTGTTCCGTCAGCAGCGCCTTACTAAATCAGAACGAGTTGCACCACAAACTACTTTTAACCTTGAGTTTAGTAGTTACTAAATATTTTCACCTCCCCCTGAGCAGGTGAGTTTTGGAGACACACATATGAGACAAATGACTTTCAAACGTAAAACTACATTCGGCAGCGTTTAGAGAAGCCGCTGTGGGCCTTACATACACTCACCTTTACCCATTAGGTGCAGAAAGCAATAATAACAATCAGGCTATATATTGTTCATTTCTGTTTTTACTGTTTCACCTACTTAAAATACTTTAGATTTACTTCAGTTGTTGAATTTGATTCCTATTAAAAGTGATGGGACATCCAGAATGACACGCCACTGTTAATCTACAACAAAGGTTTACTTAAGCATTAAAAATGGTTTTATTTGAAAAATATATACATAAACGCTCTGCACCGTGATATATACCGAAATGGGCAGTAATCTTAATTATACTGTGATATAAATTTTGTCCCACTATTAATTTAAATTGTATCATAAATTGAAGTGCTGGATGTGAATTATCCACCAGGATGTAGAGCCAACCTGTTTACAAATATTCAGATTTGGTTTATATTTTGGTTATAATATATTTTGGTCAATTTGGTTTCATGTAGGTTTCAAGCAACTGAAGTTGCATGGAAGTTTCACCATGTAAGCCCAGCTTTAGGCTTCTTTCAGAGCGTCCCATTCCATCAGTCAATGCTTTTCTATGGGGATTATACAAGCTGTGCGCAATTGAACCCCTGCGTCAGCAACTGATGCACCTTAAACGAGCTGAATTCACTCCGTAGAAAGGCTGTCTGGATACTTCTGGATATATGGTGTATGATCTCAGCTGTTTCTTGAGGTCACGATGCACTGAATCATTTTCTAAAGGACTATAACAGAAAGGAATTACTGTGAGGTCAGAGATTTACGCCCCTAATGATCAACAGAGATTCTGAAACCCTGCAGGGATGATTTCTGACCTTGTTTGACCTGGAATATGAAACAGGACTCAACTAACGGCGTCAGGAACTGAAAGTGAACAGCGAACGTGCACACTGAAGATAACGTCTGAACGCTTGCGTAGAGCAGGTCTGTCCTACAGGCGCGTCCAACAGAGTCACGGTTCAGTTCCCTAAAGGCCACAACCTGCTAACATCATCATGTAGACATATTCTGCTGATCAGCCAAGACATAACTGGAAGCCTAAATCAAAAACATTGCAAGCACATTGCAATCCAACACCTCGGGCTAGTAGAGTCCAGTCCCAGTGATTTATCCATGCGTCTGACTTATATCACACAGAAAAAGCATAAACTCTGCAGGTTTATACACAACAGAAGCCAAACGCTGAAAGACAACACTCACCAAAGAGTCTCTGATGACCTCACTCTTGTAAAAATCTGCAAAGGAAAGTAGAGGAAAGACCAGTTAGTTCAGCAGATAACTGGTCTATCATTACACCTACATTACACAGACCAGGCCAGCTCACTTACACTAACCGGCCACTTCATTAGAAACACCCACCTTGTGCTTCCACTAACTGGCCACTATAATAGAAACACCTACTTTACAGTTTCACAGTGTAAGTGTTCAGTTACTGAACGTTGTCCATCTGTTGCTGTACAGTGGCCAGTGAGTGGAAACACAGGGTAGGTGTTTCTAATAAAGCGGCCAGTTAGTGGAAGCACAAGGCAGCTGTTTCTAATAAAGTGGCCAGTTAGTGGAAGCACAAGGTGGGTGTTTCTGATAAAGTGGCCAGTGAGAGGAAGCACAAGGTAGGTGTTTCTGATAAAGTGGCCAGTTAGCAGAAGCACAAGGGGTTGTTTCTAATAAAGTGGCCAGTTAGCAGAAGCACAAGGTAGGTGTTTCTAATAAAGTGGCCAGTTAGCAGAAGCACAAGGTAGGTGTTTCTAATAAAGTGGCCAGTTAGCAGAAGCACAAGGTAGGTGTTTCTGATATATAGGCCACAGTGGGGCAGAGGTCAGTGTTTTCCTGCTCCAACACACCTGATCTCATTCCATTAGTTATTTATGAAGTTGAATCAGGTGTGTTACAGGTGTGCCCTCTAGAACCCTGACTGAAAACATTCAGATGAAAACATTCAAATCCACAAAATACAATTTACTGCCTTTTAAAAACACAGTTCAGACAAGGTCAATCAAAATCACAACTTTGGGCTCCCAAATATAGCCGATCAGCCGATCAGTGGCGTCTGACATTTGATTCTTCAGTTTTAGTGCTGGAGCTATGAAGCTAATGTAGCTAACAAGTACTGGGGGTTTATAGCCAAACAAATAGAACGGTGCTGACTGCATGTCCAATCATTACGTCTCAAACAGACCTGCTTATGAGGTTTCTAATAGTCAATGGACTAAAATGAGGACAAAATTCGAGATGGCTGCTACTGTTTAGCTATGCTAATGTATTGTAGTATAACAGTGAGTCATACAGTGAAACCACAGAATCAAGACTACTAGAGATACTGAACACCTCCACACATGAAGAACAGGCACTGAGTTAGCACTACGCTACTATGTCATACTAAACTTCCATTAATTGTTAGCTATATCAGCCATTATATTACACTGGGTCAATTTAATTACATTCACCAAACTATTGCTTTAAAATTGAAAATGTGGAGACCTATAAACAGACAGATAGACAGCAGGAGATAGAAAGTGTGAGGGTTGGTCACCTCTAGATATGCGGTCACCCACACACAGGTGGAGGGTGAAGTACGTGTCCAGCAATGGAGAATCATTTCGGTTCACGATGTTTCGCGCTGCGATGCTTCGCAAGTGACGCAAACGCCTCTGTGGAAGAGAAAGAGAAGTAAGAGTTGTTAACACTTAACACATCTGGGTGCAGCCTACCGTAGCAAAGTGGGCGGAACTGTCACACTGACGTGGTGGTGGTGTGTTAGTGTGTGTTGTGCTGGTCTGAGTGGATCAGACACAGCAGTGCTGCTGGAGTTTTTAAACACCTCAGTGTCACTGCTGGACTGAGAATAGTCCACCAACCAAAATATCCCTCCAACAGCGTCCTGTGACCACTGATGAAGGACTAGAGGATGACCAACACAAACTGTGCAGCAGCAGATGAGCTATCGTCTCTGACTTTACATCTACAAGGTGGACCGACAAGGTAGGAGTGTCTAATAGAGTGGACAGTGAGTGGACACAGTGTTAAAAACTCCAGCAGCACTGCTGTGTCTGATCCACTCACACCAGCACAACACACACTAACACACCACCACCACGTCAGTGTTACTGCAGTGCTGAGAATAGTCCACCACCCACATAGCACCTGCTCTGTGAGGGTCCATGGGGGTCCTGATCACTGAAGAACAGGGTAACCAAGTATGCAGAGAAACAGATGGACAACAGTCTGTAACTGTAGAACTACAGAGTGGAACTATAGGGTCAGCGGAGCTGATAAACCTTTGAAGTGCAGAGTTTTGTTACTGTACTACTCAATAATTGTGCTCTGGGGTCCCGTAGGGGGGATACAGTATCGCTTCTAAAGCTTTAAGCCTCTTCGCAGGTCACTGTGGACCAGGCTGCGACAAAAATAATAATGGATGAGATATCGAATTATAGCTCTTATGCAGCGGGGATGCCCCTAGAGCACACAAAGCCAAACCAAAAACCACCACTTTGGCCTGGTCTTGTGTACCAGTCATAACTCATTTTTAAACGACCAGTAGCTGCTTGAAACCTACATGAAACTAAATAGTTGTATAATGCAAGACATCCTGCAACTCACTTGAAACTCACTTGCAACATCTGCAAACTCTGTGAAACAAGTTTCATGAAACGAGTCAATTAAAACGCATGTAATGAGTCAAACCATTCAAATTCAACATATCAATGAATGTCGCTGCTGTCGGAACAAAACCTCGTATCTCCAAAATAGTAACTTTACAGGAGAAGGAAAAAACATACTTTACTTTTAATGTAAGTCAATGGAACCAAACGTCTTTCCAAGTCATTTTGGGTCGTTTCTTTTGGTCCATTCATCATAAAATTTACAAACAATATAAAGAACAACAGGCATTCTCAAATTATGTGAAAAACAGAAAAACAACAAAAATGGAGATACAAGGTTTTCTTCCGACAGCAGCGATATGAAAACAAAACAGAATTATTGGGTACAGGACCACCTGAACCACAGGGGGGTCAAGCAGGCTTTTGACCCACCACTTTTCCAACTATGGGGCGACGCCCCACCAATTTTTGATTGAGTTCAGGACTCTAAACTGCTTCTGTAGACGCGAACAGAGTCAAACTCATCAAAATCTCCACTTCAGCTGGGGCAAAATGTTTAACTGTGATGCAGGAACTAATGCACTCGGTACCACACTAAGAGGTAAGTATGTGGTTGGTATAGTGTAGTGGGTATCACCTCTGCCTTCAACGCTGTAGACTGGGGTTCAGTCCCCCACCTGGGCATCACTCTACACTATACCTTGGGCAAGACTCCTAACACTACCTTCACCTACCTGTGTAAAAATGATCAAACTGTAAGTCGCTCTGGATAAGAGCGTCAGCCAAACGCCGTAAATGTAAGTGAAATGTACTAAATGTTAATTTCCGCATTTCATACTAGTGCTAACCCAAGATCTAATGGTCTTCAGAGATGAGCAAAATTCACTGTCTGAGCAGAACCCAGTGAAGCACACTGGACTAACACACTGACACTGTCTATAAAAGGGTTAACAGGATTACTGGGATTTTATTATATTCTAACCACGCCACACTTTATATGGAGTGCTGAGAGTTGTTAGTCAGTGGCCTAGTTTTTCAGAAACAATGGGCCTCGTTCTCCAATATCTTCCGAGGTCTGTTCTTAAATGAGTTCTTGAGAAAGATCCTAAGTAAAAGTCTCCGTCAGATTCATGTCGTGTTCTTAAAGCGCAGAACTGTTCTCTCCTTTGTGCTCTAGAGTGTGTGTAGATTCTGTTCTTACCTAAGAACAAACCCCACATAAGGGAACACTGGTGAATGTCAGGATCCTCACGCATAAGTGGGTTGTAAGAAGAAATACCTTCCTAAGAAAATTTGGTGAATGAGGCCCAATACGTTCTGTACCACCACTTTTGGAGATCACCCCAGACTGGGTGGTTGAAAATGAGAGGAGAGAACCCAAATCCCTACCCGCCCCCCCCAACACACACACACACACACACACACACACACACACACACACACACACAACCAACTGAGTCAACGTTTGCAGTTCTTGATTTTGTCAGTTTTCTGAGTCACGATAACAAACAAGTTTCTCAAAGCTAAAGTTTCTTTAACCAAATGGGTTTAACTGGCCAGCTAACACTAAACATCTGCGTCACAAATTTTTCCTCTTTATCCTGTTGTTTGTATATATATATATATATATATTATTTTTATATTCCTGTATATTTAATATTCATTATACTTATCCTTTTTTATTAATTGTGACTCAATAACTACTATTATTAATGATTATTATACAAATACATATATATATATATATATATATATATATATAAAATACATATTTTACACACTAAAATAGCCATACTTTAAGAAGCATCTAAAAACGTCTCTCTTTAACTTAGCATTTAATTAAAACTCTACACCTCATGGTGTTTATCTTCTAATTTGATCTATTTCATTTTTTTCTGATTCCAAATAAATACTTATGATTTCTTGTATAACTGTTTCATCACCTGTCTGTAAAGCACTTTGAGCTGCCATCGGCATTAAAAGTGCAATATAAATAAAATATTTTATTATTATTATTATTATTATTACTACATTATTTTATTTTGTATATATAATTAACTCTATATGTAAATTAAGGTGCATGAAATTTCACTGTGTAGGACCATCCTAAGCTGTTTTTGTTGTTGTGTCTTGTGCCTAAGACTAATATATGTTAATGAGCTCTGCTCTGATTGGCTATCCTGAACAGAGCCTCCAGGCTGAAACACTCCTTATTACATCAGCATGAGTGGGCGGGGCTAGACTGCTGGAAACTGAATAGATGGATATATGTAAATACGTAGTTTTTTGTGACATCACAAAAACACTGTCTATGTTTGCAGCTTTGTTTCCACGTACAGACTGTGCGGCCTGAACGGTACGTTTTTAAAACTTTAGCAATGTTTACACACTAAATCAAACTAAACAAAGAGAGGAAAAGAGGTTTTTCGTGACATGGACTCTTTAAGGAGGATCCCAGCTCATGTTAAGAGCAGGCAAATGTGCAACTGATGCACTAAGACAAGCCGCCTTTGTGCGTGAGGAAAACCACGTGCCGCTATGAGGCAAAGCCCTCCACCCTCTGAGAGCATGACGTCACTGTTGGACGGTGGACGTGAAGCGAGAATGTGCAGCGTCTGAGAGAAAGGAATCTTTCAGAAACGGCTCAGAGAACGCAGGAACAGTCTGAACGGTCACAGCGGCCTGTGAAACAGTAATATCACCCAGTTTAAACAACGACTGGTCAGGAAATCTGTAAAACAAAAGGTCTTTAGAGAGAATCTCCAGCATCAGAGGCCTTAATTTGGCTGATTCCTTAGGAGAAAATGACCAGAGGCCACGAGGCTGAGAAGAAGACGAGTATGCATGAGCAAAGCATGCACTGCATTGAACTTACTGGACTCAAATGTGTTCAATATGAATAAAATGTTTTACATCAGCACATATAAACAAAGAAAAACTGTGGATTTAAGATGTAGCCTAATGCAACCCCATTTCCAAAAAAGTTGTGCAGAATGTAAATAAAACAGGACGCAATGATGTGCAAATCATGTGAACCATATTTTTAAAGGAAAATACTATAAAGACAACAAATCAAATGTTGAAACTCGGAAATTTTTTTGTTTTCTGAAAAATATTTGCACATTTTGAATTTGATGCCAACAACACATTCCAAAAAAGTTGGGACGGGGGCCTGTTTACCACTGTGTTTCATCACCTCTTCTTTTAACAGCACTCTGTAAGTGTTTGGGAACTGAGGAGACACTGCTGTAGTTTAGAAAGTGAAATGTTTTCCATTCTTGTTTGAAACAGGATTTCAGCTGCTCATCAGTTCAGGGTCTCTTTTGTCGCAGTTTTCATTTCATTATGCACAAAATGTTATCAGTGGTGACAGGTCTGGACTGAGGCATGCTGTCGTAATACATGCAGAATGTGGTTTTACGTTGTCTTGCTGAAATAATCAAGGCCTTCCCTGAAAAAGACGTCGTCTGGATGGCAGCATATGTTGCCAAAACATGTATATATTATTCAGCATTAATGGTGCCTTCACAGATGTGCACGTCACCCATGCCATGCGCACTAATGCCCCCTATACCATCATGAATACTGGCTTTTACACTGTGCACTGATAACAAGCTGACTGGTCTTTAGCCTGGAGGACACAGTGACCATGATTATAAAAAGAATGTCAAATGTTGATTCATCAGACCACAGGACACTTTTCCACTTCCCCTCAGGCCCAAAGAAGGTGGCGGCGTTTCTGGATCCTATTTATATTTGGTTTCCTCTTTGCATTTTAGAGTTTTAACTTGCATTTGTGGATGCAGTGATGAACTGATTTCACAGACAGTGGTTTTCAGAAGTGTTTCTGAACCCATGCAGTGATTTCCACTACAGAATCATGTCTGTTTTTAATGCAGTGCTGTCTGAGGGCCCAAAGATCACGGCCAGTAAGTACTGGTTTTTGGCCTCGTCCCTTACATACAGAGATTTCTCCAGATCCTCTGAATCTTTTAATGACATTATGTACCGTAGATGATGAAAAGCGAAAGTTCTTTACTATTCTA